ACCTTTTTTTTTTTTTTATAAATTATAATTTACATTCTACCAGTATGCAAAAAGTAAACCAGCCTCAGCAATAGTAAATAATGGTATAGCAGTACAACAGACTGACATGTTTATTTTGGTGGTAGTGAAGCAGATTAAAACAGACAACAGGCTGCACAAGGTCCCACCTCTTTCCACTATGCTGTGCTCATAAGCAACCAGCCAGTTGAGAACTATAATTTTAAAGCAAAAGGACACAAGTGCAACTAATGTGACATTTTATTGTGGCAATCGTTTCGCTCTCCAGGAGCTTTGTCAAGCTGATACAAACAGTATATGGACACAGCGGGTATATAAAGGCTCAGAGTGAGGTGCAATACTAGTGGTAGTAGTAGTAGTAGTAGTGACAAAAGTTGTAGTAGTAGTAGTAGTAGTAGTAATACAATATGGTAGAGCAATTAATTCATACATGAGTAAAAGGATATAAAAGCTATTACTTGGGTAACAAGTAATCAAAGACTGCAAGAAAAGAGCTCTTCAAATCATTAATTCTCCACGCACCAACACCACTCCCAACAAAGTTATAATTCTTCCCAACAGCCAGGTTGCACTGAACGTTTCTAAAGTACTTTCACAAGCTAACACCAGAGTCGCCATTGCTTCTAGCACTTCCATAAAGGATCTAACCAGGACAAAATCAAAGCACCACGAACCAGTCAATGCAGGGGTTTACACTATACCCTGTGGAGGCTGTGACAAGATTTATGTAGGTGAAACAGCAAGAAACCTTGACACCCGCCTCAATGAACACATTTACGCATGTAGGAACGATAACTTGAACAACGCCTGTGTACAACACTGAAATTCCACCAATCATCTCATGAAATTCAGGGATGCCCAATTAGTGATCAAAGAAACTAATTTCCACAGACGCAAGTGCCTCGAATCAGCACTGATCGCTGTTTCGAATACAATTAAACAAAACAACGGCAGCTTCACCATCTCTGAAGTCTTAGCAAGAATCCTCCTGAAAACAGTAAACCCTGCCATCACATAGTCTCTCCTGATATACTACACAAAGCACATTACAGAGAGTGAACACTGAAACAGACCTTCTCTATTCAGTCTATATTTGTCCAGCCTATTTTTATGTTACCCAAGTAATAGCTTTTATATCCTTTTACTCATATACGAATTAATTGCTCTACCATACTGTATTACTACTACTACTACAACTTTTGTCACTACTACTACCACTAGTATTGCACCTCACTCTGAGCCTTTATATACCTGCTGTGTCCATATACTGTTTGTATCGGCTTGACTAAGCTCCTGGAGAGCAAAATGTTGCCACAGTAAAATGTCACATTAGTTGCACTGTGTCCTTTTACTTTACGTATTGTCGGTAATTCTACCAATATTATTACACTATAATTTTGAAGAAAGTACTACATTTTTTTTAATTCTTTCCAGAATATCCCTGCTGAAAATGGGGTGTGCCTTATATGCTTTAAAATATAGTATAATTATATGGCATTCTGGTGATAATTTTTTGCTCATGATCAATCCTAGAATTCTATCAGCTGAACAGAATTTTAAGACACTAAATACAGTAACACTTGGATTTAACAAACTAATAAAGAAGAGTGGGTGGCCAGTCTTGGTGATGGTGGTGAACAGTGATGAGATTGTTTTGCTGTCATCATAAAAATAATGAGCCAGTCTGTAGCCAACAGACTTTGTCCACTGCTGCAGAATCAACTGACCCAGCAAATTTTGTCCTGTATTTCTGAAGTATGTTAATCGATATTCAATAAATCAACAGATTAAAGTACATACTGTACTTCCTGAACTTATTTTCACTTACACCCATAAATAAAAATAGTCATAATAATAAAGCTACTTCAAAACAAATTTCCTAGCCCTCCCATCCAACCAGATAGCCATTCCTATGTCTGTAGTATAGAAATCTGGGCAGTGCCCCTGCTAGGAAGCAAGTTGTTTCCTTTCCTTCTAAGTACTTCAGTGGCTCAATCTTATCCCTAGTTGTGGGGGGGTTCAAGTCAACTTTACTTAATTCCATCTCTTCTGTAAGCACACTTGATATTAGTATAAAACATATTTTATTCTCTGATCTATCGATTCTGGATCCTTTGTATTTCATTTTCATATGTACTTTTTAATCTTTATTTATTCCATATTATAATCATATTTGTTAAAACAAGAAATAATTACACAACTTTTATTGAGTGTAACACTGACCTGCTGGAGTTGGAGCATGTAAACAAAGCCTGTTGCATCAGCTCTAGGTAATAATACTGATATAATCATGAAAGCGCTTGGAATTTTACAAATTTTTCACTGTGTTTATTTTGCATATTGTGATATCACCTGTTTACTGTGATCTTATTGCATTATTGATACTTTTTCAATTATATTTTTCTATTGTTGTCTCTTAGACACTGGGTCACCACATTTCCTATACTCTATACGTGCCAACAACATAACAGACAAGATGAAAACTGCTATCTGTCAGGCGCCCATTTTAAAAGCATCCATAATGATATGTGCATGCGTGTGCATGTGTGTGTGTGTGTGTACTCACCTAACTGTGGTTGCAGGGGTCAAGACTCAGCTCCTGGTCCTGCCTCTTCACTGAATGCTACTAGGTCCTCTCTCTCCCTGCTCCATGAGCTTTATCATACCTCATCTTAAAGCTATGTATGGTTCTTGCCTCTACTACCTCACTTGCTAGATTATTCCACTTCCTGACTACTCTATGACTGAAGAAATACACTGGACCCTCGGCTAACGATATTAATCCGTTCCAGAGAGCTCATCGTTAGACGAAATTATCGTTAGCCGAATTAATTTTCCCCCTAAGAAATAATGGAAATCCAATTAATCCGTTCCAGACAGCCAAAAGTATTAAAAAAAATTATTTTTTTTTCATGAAATATACATTTCCCTATAAAGAAAACAATGAGACATGCACAATAACTATATAAATAAATGTTAAAATGACACTTACCTTTATTGAAGAGTATTGATGAGTGATGAGACACTGTTTTACTTGAACACTGGGATTTTCAGAGTGATACATGAGTAAAGGCTTCACTTTGCAATCCCCACTAGCATTACAACAAAACAAGAAAGTTTGCCTGTCTTTCACAGGCTTGTGTCCTGGGAGTGCCTTTTCCTCCTGAGTAATGTAGGTCCTGTTTGGCAGAACAGGCCTGTTTCGTCTCAAGTGAACATTCGTTGGGGTTGGAATTTTTCAGCTTTGCCATGCCTTATCACACTATGTATGCCACTATGATTCTTAAATCTCTCAAACCAACCTTTGCTGGCCTTAAATTAACCAATATGAGCACTAGTTCCAGGCATTTTTTCCTGTTCACCTGGGTGTTAGTCAACTGGTGTGGGTCACATCCTGGGGTACAAGATTAAGGACCCCAATGGAAATAAGTTAGACAGTCCTCGATGACACACTGACTTTCTTGGGTTATCCAGGGTTATGTGTAAATATGTAAAGTAAAAATTCTGAGGGGTCAAACATTGGTAATTTTAAGCAGTAAAATATAATATTTAGATCACTATCTCAACTGTTTCTAAAACACAATAAAAATTAGGATTCACAAAATGCAATGCACCATATTTACACATTAGAACATCAGAATCACATGACATGAAATAATAAAAAATAAAAGAGGACCATAAAAATAAAAAATATCATTCCTTAAATTCTTGCATGCTGAAAAAAGTATCTTTAGCTAGAACAAACAGTGTAGAGGGAAATTAATCACTTCAGCATCAAAAATATAATTGAAATCATTAATTCAGTCATGAGCTGAAATTCAGACACTATATATTACTATCATACATATTATGTATAATAATCACTTTAAATAAAAAGTTAACAGTACACTTGGAAATTAATACTGTATACTGAAGATGTCATGAGGATTTAATATTTTGTTATAAGTTACTGTATGAAGTATTACTATATTTGCAACAACATATATAAACAATGGCATGAAAACAAATATTAATACAGTAGAACCCCGAGTTTCAAACTTTCTTCGTTCCAGAAGGCTATTATAGTGCCATTACTGAACTAATTTTTTCCCATAAGGAATAATGTAAATTAGCAGTTCAAAACTTGGGGTTCCACTGTATGTCAATTCCTCTATTTACATACATTTCTATGGTGTATACAGTTTTTATTACTTTTAATATCCTTAAAGTGAGCAGAACTTGTAAATCTGCATTTACAATACTCTACTTACCATGTAATTTTCAATTACGTATACATTAAGGTTTCTGATTAACTTTGCTCAATTACTATCAAGCTGTTGGTCTGTACATGCAGATGCATGAAAATGCAAAAGCTGCACTGTAACAGTTTACCTGACAGCCACAAATGATAGTTAAAAATATAACAACATTCAATCACAAATGTTAATCTTCTTACTGGTTAATTATGTGTAATCCACTTAAAATCATTTTATCATATTGCTCAGTTGCAGCATCCACACATTCTACCAATTATGTGATAACCATCTTCCATATTTATATAGATGTTATGCAATGAAGGAAACCCACAAGCTGGTGTATAACAGTGAATATTTCTATAAGACAAAATATTAAGCAAATGCAAAAATCAAACAAAGGCTAATTTTTTCGACAAACCAGCCATATCCCACGGAGGCAGGGTGACTTAAAAAGAAAAACAAAAGTTTCTTTTTTTAAATTTAGTAATGTATACAGGAGAACGGGTTACTAGCCTCTTGCTCCCAGCATTTTAGTCGCCTCTTACAACACGCATAGCTTATGGAGGAAGAATTCTGTTCCACTTCCCCATGGAGAAAAGGCTAAATTATTAAGGAAAAAAAATAACCATTGGTCAACAATGCGAGGTAGTTCAATGAGAATTGATATTACTCTGATATTGCTTCTTTTTCTATATGCTATTTAATTAAGATCATAAATGTTGGATGAAATTATAAAACCCAACTTACCCATCACTGAATGCTCCATTCCACTCCCGTTCTCCCCAAGGGTTCTTTAATCGTATCATCCGCATCTTTTGAGCTCCTCTGCAAAAAAAAAAAAAAAAAAAAAAAAAAAACAAGAATTGAGCTCATTGAAACCATTTAAAAATCCACTGTCCAGTATACATTAACAAGAAATACAAAACATTATTTACTTCAAATTTGGTTCTTCTATTTGAAATAACTTCTGCAGAAAATTTTTATTACAATTTCAGGTGGTCCATTTATTGCATTCTCATACTGTAAATTAGTTCTCAATAACACCTTTAGAAGATCTTAAATTTTAGTCTGAATTTAAGAAGGAATTTTTTTTAAACTTTGGAATTATCCCAAGAAGGGTTGGAGGGAAGAGGTAATGGTCTTCAGTGCTAGAGGCTTCAGCATCCAGCAGGCTTGTATAAGTGTTACATGGAGTGAGTGGAGATAAGTAGTTTTTAGAGTTTGATGTGCTGTTAGTGTGTGAGCAGGGTAACATTTATGACTGGATTTAGGGAAAGCAATTAGTCAGACTCGAGTCCTATGGGTAGGAAGTACAGTGCCTGCACCTTGAAGGATGGATGGGAATGTTGCAGTTCAGAGGAACATCTGAACTGTGATATCTGAGCACTTCTGGCAAGACTGTTGTTGAATGAGCAATGTTGAAAGTGTTTCCTTTTCATGGGTGATCTACCTTGGAGGGAGATGACCAGTGTGTTAAAAAATCATTACTGTATACTGTGGTCTCACATTGTAATGGAAGTGCAATAAAGGTACTGTCACTCTCAGAATACTCAGTAGATCTAAATTTAATCCAGAGGTAGGCAATGCTCTCGCCTCACACACTGAGTGGCCATAGTTTAATCCTTGGCCAGGTGGAAATATTGGGCATGTTTCCTTACACCTGTTGTCCCTGTTCACCTAGCAGTAAATAGGCACCTGGGTGTTAGTCAACTGGTATGGCTCACATCCTGGGGGATAAGACTGACGGACCCACAATGGAAATAAGACTGACAGTCCTCGATGACACACTGACTTTCTTGGGTTATCCTGGGTGGCTAACCCTCTGGGTTAAAAATTCAAACAAATCTTATCTTAAGATAACTTGCAATTATACTGGACAAAGATAAGTGTGACAGTTATTTACTTCATATTTTTCCAGCACTAAAACTTACTTGAATAAGGAGAAGAGTCCTGTATCACCAATGTTGATCTTCCTGCATGCTGTGATGCCATATGCATGACCCTTAACCAGACCAACATTAGTTCTCATCTCTACTTCCTCATGATTATGAGCCTAGAGAAAGAAAGAAAACACTATACTACAATATCATTCAATTTATGATTTTTGGTTTTATTTCTTCACAGTGTATTTTATAAAAATTCAAGTATAATAGACAAACACAAAGTGTTTTAACATATAATGTTTTAACAAATACCCTAGGACACTTAAACCCATATGACCTGAATATTTTGCAAATAGTATATATTTATTCTTTTTTTTTTGTGGTAACCTAAGCATTTTGGAAGATGGCCAGTGTGATAAAATATATATTGTATATGTATATAAATTATTTTTCAAATACAATAAAGCCTCTTACAGCTGAAATTTTGGTAACTATCACTGTCACTCATTCAATCACTGTCTTGCCAAAATTGTGCTTACATTGCAGTTCGGATGACCCTCTGAACTGCAACATCCCCACCCCTCTTTTAGAGTGCAGGCACTGTACTTCCCACCTCCAGGACTCAACTCAGGCTGAATCCCTTCATAAATGTTACCTTGTTCACACTCCAACATGTGAATTTCTCTGGTATACATTTCATTAGACCCTTCAACTAAAAATTTGCAAGTTCAGATCCAATTACATCAGATCAGTTCACTTTATGCATTCTGCTAGGCATGCATGCACAGCTCTTGAGAGAGAGTACTCTACCTCACAAGTGGGTGGATGAGTAAACACTGCCTCATTTAACTAAGGAAACAGCCTTAGACATACCCTCTTGTTTCCAACAGAAAATATCCACATACATATCTAAGTATAAATCAGTTTTTAAATTTGAGGTTAAATCGTAGCAGTTACAGGTACAACATCAATTTTGCCAGACCAACAGAGATCACGTAATCATAATTTAAGACTACACCTCTAACCAACTATTTTTTTTTTCTTTTAACACACTGGCCAATTCCCACCAAGGCAGGGTGGCCCGAAAAAGAAAAACTTTCACCATCATTCACTCCATCACTGTCTTGCCAGAGGGGCGCTTTACACTACAGTTTATAAAACTGCAACATTAACACCCCTCCTTCAGAGTGCAGGCACTGTACTTCCCATCTCCAGGACTCAAGTCTGGCCTGCCGGTTTCCCTGAATCCCTTCATAAATGTTACTTTGCTCACACTCCAACAGCATGTCAAGTATTAAAAACCATTTGTCTCCATTCACTCCTATCAAACATGCTTACGCATGCCCGCTGGAAGTCCAAGCCCCTCGCACATAAAACCTCCTTTACCCCCTCCCTCCAACCTTTCCTAGGCCGACCCATACCCCGCCTTCCTTCCACTACAGACTGATACACTCTTGAAATCATTCTGTTTCGCTCCATTCTCTCTACATGTCCAAACCACCTCAACAACCCTTCCTCAGCCCTCTGGACAACAGTTTTGGCAATCCCACACCTCCTCCTAACTTCCAAACTACGAATTCTCTGCATTATATTCACACCACACATTGCCCTCAGACATGACATCTCCACTGCCTCCAGCCTTCTCCTCGCTGCAACATTCATCACCCATGCTTCACACCCATACAAGAGAGTTGGTAAAACTATACTCTCATACATTTCCCTCTTTGCCTCCAAGGACAAAGTTCTTTGTCTCCACATTTATTAAACAAAAATACCAACCACTCCAACACTATATCCCCCCCTGCTTTTAACATTTCTGTCATGATCCCGTCAGTTTCAGCTGCTTTACCCCCTTTCATTCTACATAATGCCTCATGCACCTCCCCCACACTCACATCCTGCTCTTCTTCACTCCTAAAAGATGTGATACCTCCTTGGCCAGTGCATGAAATTACCACCTCCCTTTCTTCATCGACATTTTAGAGTTCCTCAAAATATTCCCGCCATCTACCCTTTACCTCCAGCTCCCCATCTACTAACTCCCCTACTTTATCATGGCAAAATAATGTCTTATCTATCCACTACAACTGCAATTACCAGCCATCTACTTAACCCTATTGGTCCATTATATCAAAGGTTTATTATAAATTAATAAATTACTACTACAAAGTAGAATTTTTGCAGGCAAAAATCACTTGGAATTTAATCTTGCCATCCCTGATGAACTAATAATCCATTTTAGTGAAAGGGGACCAAGCACATTTATTTTACCCATGGCATAATATAAATGCACATATTATTACTGTACATATAATCTCATCATTGAGAGAAAGTGAAGAATCCCTCCTCCATAAGGAATGCATGTCATAAGACACTGGGATGAAGTGCATAGTAATCCCTTCTCCTTTATAAATTACTAAATTTAAAAAGGAAAACTTTTTTCTTTTTAGGTCACCCTGCTTCAGTGGGGTACAGCCGGTTTGTTGAAAAAAAAAAATAATCTCATCTTCATGGGAAAGTGGAGAAGAATCCTTCCTCCATAACCCATGAGTGTCGTAAGAGGCAACTAAAATACCAGGAGCAAGGGCTTAGTAACCCCTTCTCCTTGAGTCACCTTGCCTCAGTGGGAGACAGCTAGTGTTAAAAAAATGCATAATCTCAAATATTATGCCAGTGAATAATGAGTCACACTGAGTAACCATAAGATAGATAGTAACACTAACCAGAGCCAAAATATTGTTTAAATTTAGTACTGGGATGTGTAATACTGGATGAAAAGAAAAATTAGCATTCTTCCTGAATGTGACTTCTGTTTATTTTTTTTTTTTTTTTTGACAAGTCGGCCGTCTCCCACCGAGGCAGGGTGACCCATAAAGAAAGAAAATCCCCAAAAAGAAAACACTGTCATCATCATTCAACACTTTCACCTCACTCACACATCATCACTGTTTTTGCAGAGGTGCTCAGAACACAACAGTTTAGAAGCATATACGTATAAAGATACACAACATATCCCTCCAAACTGCTAATATCCCAAACCCCTCCTTTAGAGCGCAGGCACTGTGCTTCCCATTTCCAGGACTCAAGTCCGGCTATATAAAAATAACCAGTTTCCCTGAATCCCTTCACTAAATATTACCCTGCTCACACTCCAACAGATCGTCAGGTCCCAAATACCATTCGTCTCCATTCACCCCCATCGAACACGCTCATGCACGCCTGCTGGAAGTCCAAGCCCCTCGCCCACAAAACCTCCTTTACCCCTTCCTTCCAACCTTTTCAAGGACGACCCCTTCCCCTACAGATTTAAATGCTCTCCATGTCATTCTACTTTGATCCATTCTCTCTAAATGACCAAACCACCTCAACAAACCCTCTTCAGCCCTCTGACTAATACTTTTATTAACTCCACACCGTCTCCTAATTTCCACACTCCGAATTTTCTGCATAATATTTACACCACACATTGCCCTTAGACAGGACATCTCCACTGCCTCCAACTGCCTCCTTGCTGCTGCATTCACAACCCAAGCTTCACACCCATATAAGAGTGTTGGGACTACTATACTTTCATACATTCCCTTCTTTGCCTCCATAGATAATGTTTTTTGTCTCCACATATACTTCAACTCACCACTCACCTTTTTTCCCTCATCAATTCTATGATTAACCTCATCCTTCATAAATCCATCTGCCAACATGTCAACTCCCAAGTACATGTATCTGAAAACATTCACTTCTTCCATACTCCTCCTCCCCAATTTGATATCCAATTTTTCTTTATCTAAATCATTTGATACCCTCATCACCTTACTCTTTTCTATGTTCACTTTCAACTTTCTAGCTTTACACATACTTCTGTATATAATAAAAACCATTTTTTGTGTTATAAGATTACCAAATTTATGGAGCAACTTACATTTTTAAGGATATTTAATCTTTATTTTTTTTTGTATGGATAATCAAAAGATTTACACTATATAAATATCAACAATATACTATTTTCAAGATCCCTTTTTTCTTCGTACAATTCATTAATCCTTTTACACAACGGTAGATTAGGTTAGGTAAGGTTTATCAGGGAACAGGACAAGTGTCCTGTCTTAGTCAGATGATGACCCACTGTTGGAGCTTTTGGTCATCTGACCAAGGCCTTCTGCTGGCTTATCAATCCACTCCTTTAAAAATTATAGTCATACAGTAGTTATAACCCATCTGAGTTTTCTTCTATTTTCTTAATAGTTCTTCCTATTTATTTCCTTTCATCTCCATGGCAAAGTGGAAAAGAATCTTTCTTTTGTAAGCCACGTGTGTCATACAAGGCAACTAATGCTGGAGCAAGGGCTAGTAATCCCTTCTCCTGTATAAATTACTAAATGTAAAAAGAAGAAAAACTATGGCTGTCATCTTTTTTGGGTCACTCAGCCTTTGTGGGAGATGGCCAATATGTTGAAAAAAAAAAAACACAATATATTTCCCAGTTACTATCATAAGAATGTATTATATGAATTGTGTTTCATGTTTAAATGCATTGTTGTTATGAAGTAACAGAGTTTTATAAAATATGAATTACAAAATTCAAAGGACCAGAATAAAATTTTGAACAAAGTTTATCAAATAATGTTTCACAGAACTGTATATGGTAGGAATATGTTGAGATAATCGATCAATAACTTATAAAATGTGGAATGCTGAAAGATACCAAAATTTTTTACCTTCTTGAGGTATAAAATGCCACTTATACTGGAAAAATCCTTTAGGAAAAATAAACCGATGAAATTCAGGTTTCTCTTTGTTGCAATTTTTCTGACCTGACACTGTACAATGAATGATTTCAGAAGAACTAATATCAGGGAAGTTACTTCATTCCATGTAATGAAATCATAAGAAAATCTGGGTCAAACACAAGTTAAATCCATTCTTAGCAGTTGGAAAAATGACAGTGATCTAATTATATGCAGACAAAGAGCCTGACTCTTTTCCATATTAAAAATTAATTCAATATCTTTAAAGAAAGTAAACAGGCCTGATTATTAAAATGCCTACAGTAAACAGCAAAACAGAGAGGGACTCGAACCCTGGTCTATGCATGTATGTAGTTGTAGAGATACAAGTGCAACTAACATGACATTGTATTGTGGCAATGTTTCGCTCTCCTGGAGCTTTGTCAAGCCGGGTCAGGCCTGCTGCCTACATGACCCAAGGTTCAAGTCCCTGGCCATTCTTCTGTTTATTCATTTTACTCATTATGACTTATTTTGGGTTTATAGCTACACAAACTTAAATATAAAAAAACAATAATTTTAAAGTACTTTTCTGTTATATGTATATCCTTTAATGCATTACTTTCATTAGAATTTTTCTTTCTTTCAAAGGATCACATAAAACTCAGTTTTTCATGAGTATATCAGCCACCTCCAAGTAATTAAAATACTTTAGAACGAGCATTTGGAACCTCTACTGGTAATGCAGAATTCTTCTTGCTGCACTCTCAAAGAAGTGATGTTTGTTTGAACTAGAACCAAAACTATGAGGAAGCTGTTACATATTTGCCAGAACTAGGACTACCACCATGTGAGGAAGCTGTTACTTGCCAGAACTAGGACTACCACCACATAAGGAAGCTGCTATTTGCCAGAACTAGGATTACCACCAGAAGCTGTTATTTGCCAAAAAAACAGAACAACTGCCATGTAAGAATGCTATTATTTGACAGAACTAGAAGCAAAACCATTTGAAAAGATTGAACATTTGCTATTAAGCTTGAATAAGTAGACACTAATAAAGTAGAAAGGCAGAAACAACTTAGAAGGAAATATTAATATTAATAGGTTGTGAAAGACTAACAGATCACAGAGCAGTGTGAACATGACCAAAGAAAAATACTTTTGCCATGATGACTGAAGTCAATTGGGTTAAAATCTATATTTAAAATGACCAAGGTAAAGTCTAAAAACTTAATGAAAAATCAGCATAAAAATAAAATGTACTGTATACTTTGCAAAGTGCCTTAAAGACAAACACAGTATTAGTGAATTAGAATGGTATTCTATATACAGGTACCACATATTTTATTAAATAATTACAGTACAGTACTAATAGACTTCCTGTGCCATTATTCCACACAATACACAATATTGCATCATCGAAGAGTTACATGCTGCTTACCCGATCGAAGGTTTCTCCGGTCTAGGAAAGCAAAAAGCCATAGATGCATTATTAGTAAACACCAACAATAGCCGGACACCTGGCAGATAATAATAATAATGATTAAATGATCTTATCAGAAATGATTCACGAAATCGTAATAACGTGACTGCAAACAAATCTCGGAAGAGGTGGGGCTGGAACCCATGGCGGTCTTAAAACTCACAGGCCGGTGCATTAACCACTCAGCCAGTTGGCTTTGAAAGGACTTGAACTAGGTTACTGCAATATATAGGAAACATAGGGCTGCAAACTTGATACCTCCAAAAAAAGTAAAAAAAAAAAACTTTAATTTCTTATTTTGTCAAAATTAATAGTTTTTGTTACCTTACATTGTAGCTGTCACTGCATGTTGATCTAGAAATGTGGTTCCACTAGGCCTAGTTGGATGTAGACCACAAATATACCTACATATGGAAGTATATGCAGCTTAAAGATAATGCAAAAATAACTTCTCTTACCTTAGATTCTATTTGCTCTTGCATGTTGATCTAGACATCAGTGAAGAGGGTTGCTGAGGCCCTACTGGGCTGAGGTGGATGGCTGTGTGTCTTTTGTTGATGGGGATGCAAAGTTACAATTTACTGGAATGCTCAGGAATTTCATCATACATCTCTGCTGTATTTTACGCTGCAGTACTTTATACAGCTGACAATCAAGTATCATCACTTGGTCCATAACCCGCTTCACAGCAGTGCTACTAGATATGTCAGAGTCCTTTTCTGTGAAGCAGTCTGCAATTTAACCAATATCACACAGCATCTCATGTATATCTTGGAATGTTAACTGTTTAGCTGAAGATTCTTCTCCCTCATCTCTGTCTGTTATCTGCGTCTCTTCTTCCTGGGACCCGAGTTCCTAAAAAATTTCTTTCGCAGTTTGCTCTGTATTACTGTCTTCTAAGAGTTCATTTATGCTTTGTCTGTATATTTTTAAAACCCTTTCCTGGCACTCTTCTTGCCAAATCCATAATTACCTTAATGTGACTCTCTGCTGAGGAAAAACTGTAAAACTATTAACCATATTAGGCAATAATTTTCTTCATCCTATATTTATTGTTAACTGGGGCACTTCATCCCATGCAATTTTTACACTGATTATTGTATTTGCAGTGTTAAATTTATGCCAAAACTCTGTCACCCCTCTATCTAAGTCACCACATTGCTGCAAATTTTTGCACCACCCTGCATGTGTAATGGCACTTAAATGTCTTAATTACCCCTTGATCCGGTAGCTGTATCAACAGACTGCAAGATTTGAGAACTACTATGAAAATTATCAAGAGTGAGAGGAAGCTTGAGTGAAAGGTTCTTATTTGCCAGGTACGTTTTGACTGAAGGAATCAAATAGTGCTTGAACCACTCAATAAACAGGGCTTCAATCATCCATGATGTCTTGTTAGACTGCACAAAAAGTTTAAGCAATCCTTCAATGTCTTCAAGCCAGGTGCACATTTCTCTTACTTGCTGATATTTTCTAGAAGGCATTTTATTTTAATGTAATCCTGTCTTGTCAGTATTAAATTCTTGCTAAGGTTCATAGCCCTCAAGAGTAATTTCCACCAGCTGAGCAGGAAGCACTGTCAATAGATGCACCTTCCCCATTAAATTTTGTATTATGCAGATGACTGTGCACTTTGCAACTGTTCAACCATTCAGAACTAAATAAACACTCTGGTGCAGGTTTACCGTTATGTTCATACACTGTTTTATAGCATGAATGAGCTTTTTTTTTCCCTGATCCATAGTGCATTAACCCGTAAACGGTCCAAACATATATATACGTTTTTTCAACATGTAAAAGTATGTAAAATAAGTAAATATTTTTTTTCTTTTTTTACATTTCAAAACGTGTAAGAAAACTTTGATCTACTTTTGTTTTATTGTTATATTTGAAAATATGTAAAAAAAACGTAGAACTACTTTTGAAGCACTACACATGTGAACATAGATCTGCTTGGACCGTTTACGGGTTAAGTGGAGCACCTTACCATGCTTTCTCCTCAATCCATACATTAAGGAACTTTATAGTTTTTGTAACCTGTACTGACCTCTTTTGACATTTTTCAGCAAGCCACAATGAGAGACATTTATGGCACACTCTCTCATCTTTGCTTCATCATCTTGAATGAACTGTTGATTCTCTAGCACGAAATGCATGCGCCATCTCCAAAGCATGTTTCATTTTTCAAAACAAAACATAGTTTCAGCTTAATTTTTTTCTTGGCACCTTTACCATCACTAGCATTTCCTTTTGGCGCCACAGTTAATGCACAGAGATGAGACAGGGTGATGAAAAGATTGAAAATGAAGAGATGAATACATGAAATGGTATGGTGTGGTATACTACATCCAAAAGGCAATTGACTAAGTGGAAAGTTGTGTACCATCAAGGAGCCAAGCAGTCAAGTTAAGTTTTCCCCAAAACAGTAGAGTAGCTCTAGTCACAGAGGAGACATTTTCCACTGCATGTACAAGCCTGATTTCAAGCAAAATGCTAATTTCCTCAAACTTTATGGTGTTACCAAAAATAATTTCTGCACTTTCTCAACTGTATTTTAACAGTGATATACGGTAATGTATTAAAAATGCAAAATTAATACACAAAATGAAAAATTCTACTGTTTATCTGCCACTATATTTCTTCAATGAGCTTTTCTTCTGTAGCGGTAGCCTTATGCAAAATCTTACATTTCAAATGCCTTCAATGTACTACAGCATATAATGACTTTTGAAAAAGCACTTCAAATATTTACTAAAGAATTCCAAAAGATGGCTTATGTAGTATTACAAAATATAAAGCTGCTAGTTACATGCCCTGCAAAACAAGGCTGAGAAACTGATGAGGTTTTTTTTAAGTGAGTTTGCAGAGCTTGCATGTGGCAAAGCAGAAGTAATGAAATGGGAGAAAACAAGAAACAATGGAAAAAATGAAGAGATGGAAAACAGGGTATTTAGTGACAGGGAAACATCAAGGTGAAGAAAATGTGTCCAACTACCAAGTAGTGTGAACACTGCCAAGGAAATGAATCAAAGGAAGGAAAAAAGAAAGTCCACTTTACTTTTACCATCTAGTATTTTAACTGACAGCAGCAGTCATCCAGTCTACTGTTGAACATTTAAAATTTCATAAAAATACATATTTTTTTTTTAACACACTGGCCATCTCCCACCAAGGTAGGGTGACCCGAAAAAGAAGAAACACAAAATAAACGTACAATAATTATTAGAGATATTTATAATTACAGCCTCTCCTCACTTAACGACATACTCGTTTACCGATGCCTTGAACTTACAACAGGCTCTTTGACCAGTATTCATACCTAAATAATGTATAATAGAGTTGATTTCCTCTATTTTGTTTATTTCAATATACAGTACACTACTGTATAAACATTTAAAAATATACCAGAAATGTTATAAATGGTGCAAAGGTGACATTAAAACAATATCAAAGATGACTGACACACACTCACTACCATTGTATAGTATGCTCCTTGCTTAGCGACGAATTCGTTTAACGACACGGTCTTAGAAACAGAACTTCATCGTTAAGTGAGGAGGGGCTGTAATTCATTCCTGGAGACTTCAAGACTCTTAAAAATAAACATGAGAAATGTAATGAAAAGATACAGGTATTCATGAAAAACTATTGAGAACTCACAGCAATAGCACAGCACATTAATGCGTGTTCATTCATCTCCTTGCTCATCATCTTGAAAAGTTGCTTACGTTTCTCAAAGTCATCAGTGTAGCCGCCCACTGTCAAGTCTAAATGCGCTGAGACTCCTGAAGTCAAGTCTACCAGAGCATCACTAAGATTACCACCCTGAGGAAAATATAATAAATGATTATTCTATAAATGAGAGGCAAAAACTTGTGATAAAATAATAGGTGAAATATTACAAGATAGGAAAAACAAGGCATTAAACACAGTACAATGGAACCCGGTTTTCGTCTTTAATCCATTCCAAAAGGTCGGCCAAAAACCAATTTATACGAAAACTGAAGTAATATTTCTCATAAGAAATAATGTAAATCCAATTAATCCGTTCCAGACACCCAAAGATACTAATAAAAAATACATTTTATAGAGAATAACTCCCCTCAAGGAAGGTTCCTTGATGTTGGTGAGGGGCTCTTGATTTAGGGAATTGGATCTGTGATCCAGTTCCCCGAATTAAGCCTGAATGCCTTCCACATCCCCCCCCCCCCCCGCAGGCGCTGTATAATCCTCCGGGTTTAGCGCTTCCCCCTTGATTATAATAATAATAATAATATAGAGAATAACTATAGTTTTATATACAGAAAACAATGAGAAATAAATATAAAGCACTAATGAAATGAATAAATGGACATTTAAATCACTTTTACCTTTATTGAAGACTCTTGTTGGCATATGGAAGATGGCGAGGAGGAGAGAAGGAGGAGAGGTTATCTCTACCACCATCACTACCACCCTCTACCACCATCAATACCACCCTCTACCACCATCACTACCACCCTCTACCACCATCACTACCAACCTCTACCACCATTACTACCACCCTCTACCAACATCACCACCACCCTCTACCACCATCACTACCACCCTCTACCACCATCACTACGAACCTCTACCACCATTGCTCCACCATCACTACCACCCTCTACCACCATCACTACGAACCTCTACCACCATTGCTCCACCATCACTACCACCCTCTACCACCATCACCACCACCCTCTACCACCATCACTACCACCCTCTACGAGTAACAAAGGCAGACTTAGTCACGAATGTATGAGAGGCCGCATCCCACAGGCAGGCAGACGCGTCTGGTACGGATGATTTCTGAGCATATATATGAAAACAGGGAAAATTTCGCCATAAAAAGTGGTTGAAAACTGAATTGTATGATAGCTGGACCAGACGAAAACTGGGGTTCCACTGTATAAAGATCTAGTAAAGTCTTCTTTCTTCTTTCAACAGACTGGCCGTATCCCACCGAGGCAGGTTGGCCCAAAAAGAAAAACGAAAGTTTCTCTTTTTAAATTTAGTAATTTATACAGAAGGGGTTACTAGCCCCTTGCTCCCGGTATTTTAGTCGCCTCTTACAACACACACACAACTTACAGAGGAAGAATTCTGTTCCACTTTCCCATGGAGATAAGAGGAAATAAACAAGAACAAGAACTAGCAAGAAAATAAAAGAAAATCCAGAGGAGTGTGTATACATATGCTTGTACATGTATGTGTAGTGTGACCTAAGTGTAAGTAGAAGTAGCAAGACGTACCTGAAACCTTGCATGTGTATGAGACAGAAAATTGGACACCAGCAATCCTACCATCACGTAAAATAATTACAGGCTTCCGTTTTACACTCACTTGGCAGGACAGTAGTACCTCCCTGTGCGGTTTTGTCTACCAACCTACTACTTAGAATCTAGTAAAGTATAAGGCTAAATTACACTTTTAACAGAATACATGTAGTATTACTGTAATAGCCATCAATTATGGAAGAGACTACAAGTCACTGCTGTAAATAAATATAAAGTAGAGTAAACATATTGTATACTCTATATGCATGTCCAAGAAAAAATGATAAGTCACATATCTGGAAAATTTCTAGATATGTGACTTATCATTTAAAAGGATTTGTGGAACACATTTATCATTAAACAAGGTCTATACGTATATTCATATAATAGAATGAGGGATGATATTCTACAGATTGTCCTGTTAATAAGATATTAACTGTAAGAAAGAATTAACAGGTACTCAAGACATTAACACATTTGTGAATACTTTCCTAAATAAAATTTAAAAACCTTTACAATACACTGTTCTCTAAAACTAAACAAATCACAACAAAATGGGTTCTCAATCCATGGCTATCGGAACTTAACTAAAACATACAGTACAGATCAACTGACAAGAAATGGGATTGTGAAATGAAGTAATACCAGCAAGGATTACTCTGAAAACAGACAGATATTTCTGAACAATTTACCAATGCAATAAGATTAAAAACCTCTACAAATAGATTTAATGCAACAAAAGTACAGGAGGGCCCTACTTTACAGTGTTTGCTAATACATACAGCAGTTTTCAATTATACCCATTCTTCATTCATTCAGACTCCCTACAATAAATATATGAATAGGAATATAAGAATGGAGGAACAATGCAGAAGGCCTACTGTCCCATACAAGGCAGATCCTTATCAGGCCTGGCTCTAATGCTCATTTATTATAAAATAGCATTATCAGGCTTTTATATGCATTTGAAAATGAAAAAAGGCCATGTTTCACTTTACAGGGGTAGCCAGGAACCTAACCTGCTGTATAAGCAAGGCCCTCCTGTATACATAAAAAGACCTGAAACACTCAAATCTTGAGATCAAATAAATCATGAAAATTTGTTTTTTTACCTCAACAAGGTAGAATGACCCAAAGAAGAAAACACATTTGCTAAGAACTAAGATAACTGCTGTTTTGCCAATAGTGTGCTGACATCACAAATCAGACTACCCTTTGGCCACAACACCCCACCTCCTTTAGAGTGCTGGCACTGCTTTACCCACCTCCAGGACTCAAATCCAGCTAACAAAATTTTTCCCGAAAAATTTAAAAAAAGGGGGCCCCCCAAATTTTCAGCTATGAAAAGGTAGTAACTGATACTTTTTTTTAAAAAACCCCAACCCGAACCTTTAAAAAAAAAAAAATAATGGCACCCAAGCTTTTGGAAAATTTTATTTTTCCAACTATTCCCTTTAATAGGAAACTTTAATAACAAAAAAAACTAAAAATTTAAAACAAGCCCAAACCCCCGTGATAATTTTCCAACCCGCATACAAACCAGGGAAAAGGGCCTTTAAAAATTAACCCAACAGGTGATGTTTTAAAAAGGAAAGGAGGCAAGTGGTTTTTTTGACAATGTTTTATGAAATGGGGAAGGAAATTTAGGGGGAAAAATTTTGTTGGACTTGAAATCTGGAGGTGGAGATACAGTGTCTACCCCTTGAAGGGGGGGGGTTTAGACAATCTGGAAAGGGGGATCTGAGCCCCCAAGTTGGTGGGCAACTGAGCCTCAATGTTTGAAGCCTCTGGCAGGGCAAACGATTTAAAAATTTTTTCTTTTTTTTGGGGGTTTACCCTAAAATTTGGGGGGAAAAACGGCCCGGGGGTTTAAAAAAAATTTTCAACAAAATTCCCTTTAAAAAAAAAATTTTTTCCCCATAAATTTCTATGTATGATAATCTATGTTAAATGGTTTGGGGTAACCTGAAAAAAAAACTTACTTACTTCCAAAAACACAATTAAAACAACTAAGGTTTATATCAAATCCCAAAACTGGGGTTCCCCCTAGAAATAAATAAAAATTTCAAAAAAAAATTCCCCCAATAATATAAAAAAATTATAAAAATTAAACAAACAATTTTTGTTTTTTTAACACATCAGCATTTCCACTGAGCCAGGATAGATTAATTTCCACCAAAGTGGCTAGTTATTGTCACCCCATATTCATCCTGTGGACGATAGCGCGAGAGCATATAGATAAAAAAAAAGGGCCCTAGAACTGGGCCCCAAAAGGGGTTAACAGGAATCTAGGGTTTTTTTTTCCAATCTATAGTTAATTTTATTTTTTTTTCAAGCAAATTTAGGAAATTTGTTTTATATATCTGGATTTTATTTTCTTTAAAAAGATTTTTGACATGTCACATGGTTATTAACGTCTGTCTCGTATTCCCTCAAAAGTGGCAATTAAGCCATAGTGTTAAAGAGATACCATATGCCTGACACATAATTTACTTTTATTTTTGTCATCTCTTGTGTTCCCAAATCCCAGAAGTATTGAAACCAAGCCTAACATGCCACCAATCAGCAGTCTGTTCACATTAAATTCTCCATAAACTACTTACTATGTTCATTTTATCAAGGGGTTTATAGATCATCAGCTTCAACTGCTTTCCTTTTAAAAAAATCATTTTCATTATTTACTTCTTCCCTAAATTATTCCTAGCTAGACACTTTACCAAAGTTATTTTCTACTTCTCCTTCTGGATACCCTTTTTGGGCTAACAAAACAACTTTACATGAAGGAGTAATCCAATGTGTGGGGGTTCCTAAAATTGTACTTTAAATTTTTTGCCCCTAATTTTTAGTATCAAATACCTGGTTTCCCCCAATGACATTTTGTGGAGTCATTTATGAGCCGACCTTTAAATGATACATAGAATCAAAATGATGATAAGTCAAGCCGTGTCATAGGTTAGTTTTTACCCCATTGGGTGCAAACAATTTTATTTGCAGTTAACCCCCAGTTGTTTTTTACCCTAACTCAACAAATTTATTATCTTTCTTAATGGGGAGGTGGCAACAGGCAATCCCCTGCCAGAAACTCTGTTTAACCCATCATGTAAAAATTGTGTAACTTTTTACCCCATAGGTGGAAATTTTTTCTTGACATTGCCTAAAAAGGTTTTAAGGAAGGGATTACTAAAAAGAGCTTCTTGGGGGGGGACTTGTAGTATGGATATTAATGAACCATTTTCCAGGAGGGGGAAAATGCCTTGTTGTACAGTGTACAGTTCATGCAGGTTAAAAAACTTAATAAATTCCCGTTTTCACTCCATTAGATCTGGGGTTTTTTTACCTTAACACTGGAAAATTTCCTGGAAGTGCTGGTTCTTTTCCAAACATTTTAATCCCGAGTACAGTGTTAATTTCAACAACCCTACACTGATTACTAGAAATCCCCAAGTCCTTCCTCATTTAAGAACTTTTGTAGTTGGGACAGCAAAAAAACCTGAGACTTCTTTTTGCTTTAACTCCAAGGGTCGGAAG